CGGGGCCGCGCTGCAGAGGGGTGTGTCCACTGGCCGGGGCCGGCTTAGCGCTGCAGGTGCGTTCTTCGCGACCGCCGCCGCTTGGAGTTGGGAGGGAGGGGACGGCGCGGCCCTAGAAGAGGACAGCTCAGTGGCACAGCTCTGGGGCGCCCTGGCGCGTGTCCTGTGCTGCTAGGAGACTCCCGGTGGTTTCCCTGCTGCCGTGGGCAGGGCGGGGGGCGAACAGACCGCTTCCCCGTCAGAAGTAGTGGGGCGCGGAGAAGGACGTCCAGAGGCTGGGCTGCCGGGAGAAGGGTGTGCTCGGCAGCCTCTAAGATCTCCAGTTCGTAATGACAGTCTTTCTGATGTCTATGTATGCTGAATTTTAAAGACGAAGGAGTTCAAATGTGCGTGTGTGTAGACAGACTCCCCACCCGAGTTCCCTGTCGGAAGCATTCGGTGGAGACTCTTCTCGCACTCAGAGGCAGACTGTTGCTGTCAGCACATCAGGAGAATGGTGGCGCCCAGAGGGGCTCGAGTGGTCGGAGTGTCGGGAGTGGGACTGCTCTGTGACCTTGGACAGAACGCGCTTTCTTCTCGTGTGCGGTGTTTGGGGGCCCAGATGATGCCAGGCTCCTTGCAGTGTGTAAATGTAAGGCTAGTAAAAAGCTGTGCGATCCTTTCTTCAGAGGAGTTACAGGCTTTTCATTGTGGCCTGTATATCCAGGCTGTTTTGAGACCTTCACGCTGTTGCTGTTTGTCTCCTTTCAAGTGTCTAGGAGAGTAAGAAGCGTTCACTTTTTTTTTTTGCCAAACGTGTTTGAAAATGGGTGTGTTATTTAACCTCGTTTAGATGGGATTTTAAAAATTACTTTGAAGTGTTGTGGTCAAAGGTCCCCCGTTTATGGTTGATCACTTTCACTTTCAGTTAAGTATCAGGAAGGACCTTGTAGCTCTTGGAAGGGTCTGCTTGTGTGTAGTTGTCAGGATGACCCTTTGAGGTTAATTTGTGTGGTCTTCTAGTTTTGCAGACACTGTTGGTCTGTATTTTGAATCAAAGGAATAGTAAGAGAACATTGCATAATTTTGGAATATTGCATAGTGTATTATTAACTCCTTTTTAAAAATATTTAATTTTATTTATTCATTCATTTATTTTAATTTGACCAGACATCATACACACACACACACACACAAAGAAAGAGAGAGAGAGAGAGAGAAAGTGAGAAAGCAAAAGAGAGAAAGCAAAACAAACTGGTTGGCCATGTGGGAGTGTCCAGGGCCTTAACCACTACACCACCTTCTGGTCCCCTTAACTCCTTTTGGAGATGTGAATTTTTTGAGTTTTAACCAGGATATACAGTATCACTGATTATATTGCTGGAAAAGCTCCCTTTTTGTTTTTCATTTCTGCGAAGTTAATCTCTGCCTTTTCTCACATCTATAAAAGTGGACAAATTAATTTGTAAGCTTTGGTGACAACTCTAAGCTATTACTGATTTTGACAGGTTTTTTTTTTTTTTTTTTTTGAGAGAGGTTTTTGCTATAGGGCGCGTGTGCTCACCAGACAGACAGAGACAGAGAGATAGAAAGCGAGAAATCACCCCCCAGGAGGGGATGGCCACGCCGCAATCCCTTCTCCTCCATTCTCCTCTCGGGATCTTGGGCACACATGCACACGCGTGCCCAGCATGAGTTTAAGTGACCAGGTCCGGGACTCGAACTGCAGTTGACTACATGGGAGTCTAGCGACATAGCCTTCACGCCAACTGCTGGTCCCTGATTTTGACAGTTATTAGAGAATTAGGCTCCTACATGGGAGTCTAGCGACATAGCCTTCACGCCAACTGCTGGTCCCTGATTTTGACAGTTATTAGAGAATTAGGCTCTTTCTTTTTTCTTCTTTCTTTTTTTTTTTTTTAGAGAGAGATTTTTGCTATAGAGTGCACGCGTTCCCCAGAGAGACAGAAAGACAGGGAGAAGTCATCCCAGGGGGATGGCTACACCACAATCCCATTTCCTCCATTCTCCTCTCAGGATTTTGTGCACGCATGCACACTTGCCCAGCATGAGTTTTAAGCCTCCGGGTCCAGGACTTGAACCATTGTCGACTATGTGGCAGTCCAGCAAAGTAACCATTATGCCATCTGCTGGTCCCAAGCTCTATCTTATTTTAGCCAAGCATTGGATTAATATTATCCAGCATTTTTAAAACTAGTTAAGAGTTATGGGACCAGCAGTTAGCATAATGGCTATGTCGCTGGACTCCCACGTAGTCGATCGCGGTTTGGGTCCCGGACCCGGTGGCTTAAACTCATGCCGGGCGTGTGTGCGTGCGTGCCCAAGATCCTCAGAGGAGAATGGAGGAGAAAGGATTGTGGCGTGGCCATCCCCCCTGGGGGGCGATTTCTCGCTTTCTGTCTCTCTCTCTCTGTCTGTCTGTCTGGCAAGCGCACGCACCCTATAGCAAAAATCTCTCCAAAAAAAAGGAAAAACTAGTTAAGAGTTATAACAATCATATATATAATTATGCCACCCCATCATTTCATATATCAGCCTAAAGTTTGGAGAAGAAAGAAAGCTGGCATGTGAATACCTGTGTGCCAGGCATGCATAATTTAATTTGATTCTCACATCATTTTAAGATAGATTTGATATAGTTTTATAGATGAGGAAATGAAAGGTTAAAGGAAATGGACTCATTCAGGTCATATAACTAGTAAGTGCTGGAACCAGGCTTGGAACTCTGGTCCTAATGCCAGCCAAGCCCAATATTCTTTCAGCTCAAGCTCTGTCCTTTTTTTTTTTTTTTTTTTTTTAGGATTACTTATTTCATTTTATTTGGTATTAATTATTTTTAAAATTTGACGAGACAGAGACAAAGAGAAAATGAGAGCAGTTACCAGTTTTGGGACTTGAACTGCAGTCGACCATGTGGGAGTCCAGCACCCTAGCCACCACACCACCTGGGACCCCCAGGATCTATCTTAAAAAGCATTAGGTTGTTAGCATAGCCAATTATTGGGGGTGCTGCCATTGGGGCGCATTTTGTTAAGTATGGCCTCAGGATGACATTGAGAGAGCTGAGGATGCTCAATCTAGTTTCTTGTCTGATTCCTGTTGTTAATAGCCTCTTACCTACTTTTTCTTATCTGAAAGAGGCCTAATTCTTTCCTGACTTGAGAAGCTTAATTAATGTATGCAAAGTGGTTTTGAGAGCTTCATCTGAAGATGGTTAGGTAAATAAGGAGTAACTTTAAAATTCTGTCACATCCCAGATGGTGTCTGAATTATCTTCTCTTTAATGCTGGGAGAAAAAATAACTTCTGTGTTATTAGACTTGGGGGCTCCCTTCTTTTGTTTTTTAGTCAAACTGTTCTTTTCTCTTGAGCTTGGTAAAAATTATAGTTGAGCCCTAGAAGAGGCTGAAACTTTACTTATCTCCTCTCCCCATTCCTGACCCTTGCTTACAGATCAGGTGTGACCAGCCATATTTATCAAGTCCTCCTCCTGCTGTGAGTGGGCGTGTAGGGGAGGGCAGGGTAAAGGGGCCTGTAAGTGGTCATACATAATTCTGATCACTAGTTTTACAGTAATCACAATACCATATATCAAGAGACTCAGTATTGGGGCCATCAGGTGGCATGGTGGTTGAGGTGCTGGGCTCCCACATGGCCAACTGCAGTTCAAGTCGTGAACCTGGCAGCTTGCTTTCTCAGTTTCTCTCTCTCTCTCTCTCTCTCTCTCTGGTCAAATTAAAAAATAATGATAAATAAAATAAGTAAGTAAATTTTTAAAATTAATTCCATTTGTTATAGTTATTTTTTAATTTGACCAGAGACAGAGAGAGAGAAAAAGGGAAAGTGATTAAACAAGCCACTAGGTCCCAGACTTGAATCGTGGTCGGCCATGTGGGAT